TCAACGTTTATAGGAAATGTGCAGAGTTTGATACATGTAGTTTTTGCCAAAAATAATCATTATTAAAAGTTGGAGTCACAGTCAGGGGTTTCAGGTATTTTTAATTATTTGCATCAAATCTTTATTTAGAACAAGTATATATGGATGACAACTTCTTTTATTCTAGAGCACGACATTTCGATACAGGTTAAAAGAAGTTGTCATCCATATATACTTGTTCTGACTTCCAGCTTCTAAAATGGCACTGAAAGAAGTATATCTTTATTTGCGGATAATATTGTTTTACCTTGTCAAGACATACCTTGTTTTAAAGATATCTAAATCAACTTGGCTTGCGCTTAATATATTTTAGACCCGTGAAGATCCGGGGTAGAATAGGTTTTCAGCAACCCATTTTTGTCATAAAAGGCGACTGTTTGTCATAAAAGGCGACTAACGAGATCGGGTGGTCAGGCTCGCTGACTTGGTTGACACATGTCATCGGTTCCCAATTGCGCAGATCGATGCTCATGCTGTTGATCACTGGATTGTCTGGTCCAGACTCGATTATTTACAGATCACCACCATATAGCTGGAATATTGCTGAGTGCTGCGTAAAACTAAACTCACTCACTCACTTAATATATTTTACCAAACCATATATAGTAAACTATGGTTGTAATGAACTCAAAGGGACCAGTAATTTTAGGTTGTAAGCGTAGTTCAGTTTATGCATTTTGACTTAACAGACAGCAAATATATGGAGAAAAAACAAAGCAATGTGTATTATATCCATTTTATATTGAAGTTGACTGTACATAACCTGCAATAAATATCATGGCATATTGAACGATTAGTATGAATGGGTAGTTGTATCTGTGCATTTTAAAATCAAAGTGAGCGAGCAAGTTTAGTTTTACGCCGCACTCAGCAATATTACAGCTATATGGCAGCGATCTGCTGTTGATCAACAGCATGAACATCAATGTACACAATTTGGATACGATGACATGTCAACCAAGTCGGCAAATCTGTTCACCTGATCTAATTAGTCGCCTCTTACGACAAGCATGGGTTACTGAAGATCAATTCTAACAAAGATCGTCACAGGTAATGTCACTTTTACCATGAATGCACTGGACATTTTCAGTATGCAGGTGTAGCAGGGCGTGGAGTCATCCCACAGATGACATCCTTACCTTGTCAGCTTGCTGACGGGGTTAACCTCTTTGGTCATGTGGACAAGGCGTCCGACTTCTGATCAGAAGGTCCGTGGTTCGAATGCCAGCATGGGACTCGGAAATTTTATGGCCGCTACACAGGGATAGGATGTTTTGCGGGTTTTTAAAAAAAACAAAAACAACTGACATGAGGCTGTTCTACAAGGCTGGTGACCATCAGAATTGCTCGAAGCCAGAGTTTGGCAAGAAGGTCCAGATCCAGGTCCCAATCACGTGCATACAGGTCGAAGTGCTGTGAATCCGACAAGCTCGAATATGCTGAAACAAATTGCCTTGATTTCTTAAATAACACTGTGGTGGCACTTTGAGAAACAGGTCCCAAAACTGATTCATCCAGAATGATTAGGCAAAGGGTCAGGGTAAACTTGCATAAGTCTCTAAGGTAACAAATTAACTTATAAATGAAAATTTCTGAAAGAATATAAATACAGACTGGCCTCCTGTACTGTCCGCTTATCTAGACTTGCCTTTTTAAAGGATAGAATTACTATACATCCATGGGCTTAGCATTCAGTACAGCCTTGGACCATTAGGCTTGTGGCAGGCATGGAGTTGCAGAGGCATATCGGCAGATGAAGGTTGACATTCACAAGACCACAGTAATTGTAAGAAATTGGGGTCTTAGATTTTGTTAGTCCCTTAAATCTAGCATTGTTGTCTACATTGGGAATGTAATTTGTAGATATGTAAAAGATAACTATTATAAGTCAAGATGGCAAAAAATAATCAAACCCGACAAAGAAATGAAGGTGAGTGAGTGAGTGAGTTTAGTTTTACACCGCACGCAGCAATATTCCAGCTATATGGTGGCGGTCTGTAAATAATCATGGCTGGACCGGACAATCCAGTGATCAACAGCATGATCATCAATCCAACGCAAATCAATGACATGTGTCAACCAAGTCAGCGAGCCTGACCACCCGACAACATTAGTCGCCTCTTAAGACAAGCATGGGTTACTGAAGATCAATTCTAACCTGGATCTTCACGGGTCCTGAAGGTAAGATGACAACGATGTGACTAGTAGTTACTAATGGCTGGAGTCACTGACATATCCATTCAATACTTCCTTGCCAAAACTTTAATGGTTGTTCAAAGATATAAAACAGTATCAAGGCAACAGTTGAGACATCTGACAACCAAATCCTTTTAAGTTGAGAACAAATTCTGCGTAATTTTTTAAAATATGATCCAATAGTGCATTAATAAATTATCAGAAACCAATATTGGTTAAGTCAAACTAAAGTGATGACATATTGCCAAGTTCTGGTCATTTTACTTCACACCATCACTACACTTTGACATCGAGACCAGAATAAACCCCTTAAGACCAAGGTTTGAATTGGTTTTCTGCAACTTATGTTCGTCTGAGTAGTTGTTGGTTGACGCACGTCATTTCCCAATGATGATCATAACATCAATCACTGGATTGTCTGGTCTTGGCTCATATTTACAGACCATCATATAGCTGGAACATTGCCGAGGCCAGAGTGTGGCCAACCATGAGTCATAAAATTACCCAAGCTTCAGTTCTCAATAGAGGTGAGGTGAAATTGGGTTTAACATCGTGCTTGAGAATATTTCGCTCATATGACGTGCATGTTTGTGTATGTATGTGTGGCTGCTTGTACTAGCCTAGACTTAAGCTCGTTTTATAGTGCTAGCCCACTGAGATACCACGCCGCAGTGAAGCATGAATACCCAACTCAAACACATTATACTGACTCCGAGCTGACCAGTCCTTGTTGTACCCATTAATGCCAAGCGCCAGGCAGGGACCAACAAGTACCATATTTTAACATCTTTTGGTATGATGCGGTCGGGGATCGAACCCGCGACCTTCTGCTCTCCGGGCGGACGCTCTCACCACTACACCACGGAGGCGCGGTAGGTTTCAAAAGAACTCGCAACACAAAGACAAAGCAGATTTCATTTATTGTGAAATAGGATGTGGATATGATAGCACACATGCAAGCCATTATAATAACACTAAGAAATACAATAAAAGTACTGTTGGAAATAGGAAAAAAAAAGAAGGTTATTAGGTTCTGTATCCCTAAAATTTACACAATTTGAAATAGCATATGTCAAAATAACCCACATGGGCATAACTGGGCGTTCAGTCGGATGCGTAATAGGATATCCAGAAAAGCATATTTACTCAAAAAACGTTTAATTGGGGAAAACTTAGAAAAATAAGAGTGAGTGCTGAAAACAATAGATCAGACTATAGATGGCAATTGGGTTGCTCAGCCAGGTAGAAAGACTGGACTCACCTGGCATGAAATGCGTGTGCTGCCTGCAGGCACATGGGGTCATCTCAAAGATATTTTATGCTTTCTCATGTGTGTTGAATGTCTCATCTATTGATTAACATCTTGTGTGTCTTTCTTTCACAAAGTTTATGTTAAGATGTGTAAAAGAGTATGATACCAATAGAAAAGCTTAAATGAACTATCGTATTAAATGTCTCAAAACATATTGGTGGCATGACCACCCAATGATCAACAGGACAGGATATTATTTGTAAATTGTTAAGACATTCCGTTTACTTCCCCAGCATAATTCCCTTAGAGGACAATCTTATCTTAGCTGATATCTGTATCCCCCAACCATCGTCTGCTGCGACACCTGTCCTGGTTTTGCTTTTGAGACAACCCCTCCTACCATTTTTTTTCATAGTGATAGTGAGACTCCATGGTAGCTACATGCTTAATAGTTTCAGTATTTATCATTTTTTATGTCAGCTATCGTTCATAATGAAGCTAAGTTAAATTTCAAAGTGGGCATTTAAAAAGTGTCCTTTGTAAAACAATATCATTGCACACTAATTTGCATAAAGCCATGGTCTGTTCTAAATAAGTCGCTTTGGACTTAGAAAAAAACCCCGCATTGCTCATTTTTGCACTAATCTCTCCTCAGTAAAATCCTTTTTTCTACGTTTCCTGTCTCCCTACAACCGAGACTGTAGTTAGGCAGAACTTTAACAGATATTTCACACTTTCACAAATTAACTACCTAAATTGTAGAGATAAATGTGAAAAACCAGTATTTTTTCTATTTCCAACAGTACTTTAGTCACCATTTTCAATTTGTAATGCATGGAGTTCATAACTTGGTTTACACAAATCCACTAACTCCAAACATTGAAATTAATACTTGACTGACTGACTGGTTTTACGCCGGTTTTAGCAATATTCCAGCAATATCACGGCGGGGGACACCAGAAATGGGCTTCACACATTGTGCCCATGTGAGGATTTGAACCCGGGTCTTCGGCGTGACGAGCAAACGCTTTAACCACTAGGCTACCCCACCCCACCCCCAAAATTAATACTTGAAAAGCAATGTCTTTCACCCCAAACCTGCAAGAATTTCAACACAGAATATGAAAATGTATGGAGACAATGGTCACCCTGAAATAATGTTGAAAGAACTGGACAGTTTGGATTTAATACCTTTATAAAATACTTCTATCCACCTTTTTATATTGGTCCACAGCTGAAGGGATTTCTGTATAAGGTACCAAGAGACTGAGTCAGTGGCTGTCACAAAGTCAACACAAAGTAGCATTCCAAGGATATGTTTGATATTTTGTGGTGGCCCCTGTTGTGTGGGTATTTTGTTAACTATTGAATTGGGCAGTTTTCTTTTAAATCTTCAACTCTCTTCGTCAGCATAGAGACTTCTGTGACACAGTGTCAATTTTCCTACGTGTGTCTTCCATTACCTTTTGCCTTTTGCAGGGCATCAATTAGGAACTGTTTTGAGATTCCTTCCATGCTGTCAATTGAAGGGTATGCCATGTTCTCAGAGGGAGAGGTGGGACTGGAAAAAAATAAGATAATATATTCAATTAGGCTGCTGGTCGATGTTGCCTAATTGGCTTTTTGTTTGTTATTGATTTGAGTGAGTGAGTTTAGTTTTATGCCGCACTCAGCAATATTCCAGCTATATGGCGGCAGTCTGTAAAGAATTGAGTCTGGACCAGACAATCCAGTGATCAACAGCATGAGCATCGATCTGCGCAATTGGGAACCGATGACATGTGTCAACCAAGCCAGTGAGCCTGACCACCCGATCCCATTATTGATTTGAAGGATGGGGGATGATCTGCTAAGGGCAATGTTACTCGCGTCTGTCCCTTCACTGCCAAACTGAAGTCCCTTTTTGAAGGATGGGGGATGATCTGCTAAGGGCAATGTTACTCGCGTCTGTCCCTTCACTGCCAAACTGAAGTCCCTTTTTGAAGGATGGGGATGATCTGCTAAGGGCAATGTTACTCGCGTCTGTCCCTTCACTGCCAAACTGAAGTCCCTTTTTGAAGGATGGGGGATGATCTGCTAAGGGCAATGTTAGTCATGTCTGTCCCTTCACTGCCAAACTGAAGTCCCTTTTTCACGTTATCTGTATCCATACAATAGGAACATACACAGTGATAGGGCATATTTATGGGTACGTATTTCTTACAATTGAATATACCCTTATTTCAATTCAGATGTGGCAGATGTCAGCAAACTAATGTGTCACAGGTAATTAAAACTAGAACAGTTGAATGGACGAGTGAGTGAGTACAGCTTGACACCGCTTTTAGCAATATTCCAACAATATCCAGAACACCAGAAATGGGCTTCACCCATTGTACCCATGCGCGGAATCGAACCCGGGTCTTCGGCATGATGGGCGAACGCCCCTAGAACAGTTGAAAAGATTTCAACCTGATACAGGATAAACTTGTCTGACCACGATTCTTGTCCTCCTTTGTTATCTACAGTGATTTGCCAGTCAACCATAATTAAATATCAGTTATAGGCTGTTCTGTTGCATGCAACAACCTGCAACTTGTCACTTAAACTACAAAATACCGGTAGTCAGGAGACTGAGCAACCTGAAAAATCAGAAATCATAGACTTGAGTTCAGATGCAAAGATGCTTTGGGGACAATGGCAAAATGTACTTTTAATACTCACACCTTCACCTGCATACTCACACCTTCACTGACTGACTGATTTTGGTTTTACGCCACTTTTAGCAATATTCCAGCAACATCACGGGGGGGAACACCAGAAATGGGCTTCACACATTGTACCCATGTGGGGATTTGAACCCTGGTCTTCGCCGTGATGTGCCAACGCTTTAACCACTGGACTACCCCACCGCCCCTCACACCTTGAAGACATCACTGTTTAATAATACGATGTCAAAGTGGTTTACAGTTATGACATCAGAATGCTAATACCTCTGTCACAATAGTATTAGACATTGCTTGACTCGCAGAAAGCAGAGAGTAGTCACACTGGTTGAATTCTTAGGAAAGAAGTACTTTGCTTGATATTATTTTGCTAATGTTCGGTAAGTAATAAATAAAATACTAAACTATGTCCCATGTAATACCATATTTATGAAATGATTGAATGGTTTGGTAGCTAACGAGCAGAATTATTTAGTATTCTCTATGTATCATAATGTAGAACTGGATATTGTTGGTTCTAGTTTGCAGTCAGTAGCACCAACAACATTACTGTAGATGTCTACTTTTGACTATTTGCATAATTCACATACAGCTGGGCACTCTGGACACGATAAAACTATCACATCTATCAAAACCTGATTTTATTGGCCAGGAATGTCTAAGACATTAAAGAATGGATGCAATCTTATCGACTTCTGTGCACGCTGTAAACCAGGATGAAACAGGTATTCTTTACAACAATTTATTGTATGTGCACATGCTTAGGAATATTTTGCTCGTATGACGATGTGCATGTGTGGCTGTTTGTACTAGCCCAGTCTCAAGCTGGTTTAATAAAGCTAGCTCACCAAGATACCATGGCACAGGTAAGCATGAATACCCAACTCAGGCACATTATACTGACTCTGAGCCAATCAGTCATTGTTATACCCATTAATGCAGTGCAGGGGCCATCATGTACCATATTTTAACGTCTGTTGGTATGGTGCGGCCGGGGATCAATCTTGTGACCTTCCGCTCTCCGGCCAGACACCATACCCACTACACCACAGATGGCGGTCCCCTGGAATGTATCGCCATAGACATAGTTGGTCCTTTACCTAAAAGTAGAAATGGCAATGAGTACATTTACATTTGAAGGTAAACCCACTGTAAATGTGCATCAGCTCAAACCATATGAGACAAATGTGGTCATCTCAGGATTTGAGGGTCAATCAATATAAGGCCAGACCAATTTTATTCTTGTTTTACAGATTTTTGTACTCAGAAAACCTAAAGGCAGGAGGAAAAATAAATAAAATAAATAATAAAAAAATCTAAAAGATTTCTTGTAAATTTAGTTTTGACCAACAAAACATTAGGATTTTATTTTTTGAGCGGACTGACTGACTTTTGGTTTTACGCCGCTTTTAGCAATATTCCAGCAACATCACGGCAGGGGACACCAGAAATGGGCTTCACACATTGTACCCATGTGGGTTTTCATTGGCGACCCGGTTTAACCACTAGGCTACCCTACAGCCCCATTTTTGAGAAAATTAACTATATTTTTTTCTTCTTGAAAAAATATGACCCGCGGATCCATAAAACCAAGAAATAAAATGTCTGAAATGTTGAAATACATTGTTTTAGGGTAAGCCTAAAGGGATTATTATTATTATGTTTTACAGATTAAAGATAATATGCAGCAGAGAGGTTGATGATCCTGGCAGTCAGACTGGTAAAGGCTCATCAGTTGTCCCGTCTACGCATCATATCAATGGGACTTTTCCCAGGAAACACTGCCTATGTCGAATGCTAGAAAAATGCTTTTAGCCTTAATATCTTTATAAAGTTGATAAATGTACTATGTTGTCATTATATCAACTTGCCTATGCATATACCTAATTTATATTTCAATCGGGGCAGTTTACAGGAGAGAATTTGGTACCAAACCAACAACTCAAGATTTTTCAGAGTTCTGAAATCTGAAATACTTTACATTTATGCTAATAATACAGGTGGTGTAAAAATATGAATTAACATTTTTCTTAAATAAATGTTGAATGTTTGTGTTACTGTACTTAATTATATCGTTTCTCTACTGAAGAAATATTAACATAAATGTTAAGTCTTGATAAATATTACCGTAGATAAGCCGAATTTTGAGGACAAAAAAAGCTGTCTCTAGCAGGGGGTTGGCTTATCTATGAGATATAATTTCTTGAAAGTATTTTTCAGGTCGTCAGTGGGAATGAGTTCCGCCCGTACCCCCCCTTTTTTTCAGTAAGAAATTGTGTTCTGAGGAATTATTTCCCGGTGTAATATTAAAAAAGGGTTGCTGATATAATTTTTTGGGGTTTGAAGTGTTTAATAGGGGAAGAGGGAGAGAGAGAGAGAGAGAAACATATTAAAAAGGGGGGGTGATAAAAAAATAAAACGCATATATTCTTATACTTTGTCTGTCTTTGTTCTTCCGGCTGAGCTCCCGCGTTGTCTCGACGCCTGCAGCTTCCTGTGGAATTCACATGCTATTTTCATACATCTAATATTAGTGGTGCAAGCATTCAAGTGAACTATGTAACTAAGAACCTTAACTAAGTGTCTAACTAAGAGTGAAAGTAACGATGACTAAAGTGGGAATCGAACCTGGGGCGTCTGGATGAGAGTCTTGCATCTTACCTCGGTGCTACTGAGATAGGTGAATGAAACATCGGAGTTTATTGTATTTATACGCTGGTCGTTCAGGCCTACGCATGGGTTTGTATTAATTATAAGACGCTCACTTCAGAAGCCTTGGTGGCTCCGTGGCTCCGTGGAAAGACAATAAGGGAAGGCTTGAGGGTGAGGAGTTCCAGATATCGAACCTCGCACATAATTTTTTGTATTTTGTTTACTTGTGTATCCGTGATGACGTATGGAGGTAATGCTGGTACAACAACTATTTGTAATAATGGAATTGTATTGTCGTACTGTTGGTGGTTGCGAAATTTTTACGAGAGATCACTTGTTGTGCTTTCACGTGCATGGAATGCATTTGGCACGAAGTGCTTGTATCTAGTGATGTCACATGATGTAACGCTTGCATAATTTGTGATTTTATCATACATGGGCTTGCCATTCCCATACAAGATCCCGATTGAGTGAGTGTCCTGCTGTTTCTCATTCATATCAATTGTAAAGCCAGTTATTATATTATATGTATATATTATATAGTTCTCTTGAATATACGTAATTACTGATTAACTGGTGTTTTTGGACTATGTTATAATGTATAGACCACATCGGGTCCGTGTAGTTGTATGTAACGACGAATAAAAAAACTCATGAACAGAGAAGTACATAAGTTGTATTTTATTTATATAGATATATGGATATACACCAATACCAAGGATATGTGTGTGTGTATATATATATATATATATATATGAATCCACATTTCTGCCCAGACCAACACGTGAGATTACAGATCAACATTATCTGGACATGGGTTTTAAAGTCAAACGTAACGGTCGAGTCGTCACTCCGTCAGACATCACTGCTCGTTTCGCGTAGAAATAAGACAGTCCCGAACGCCTTTGCTGATACGTAAACATGGTATTATTTCTACTTCTGAAACCGGTATTGACAATCGATCACGACATTTCATCGCGCAAGACAGACCGATAGAGATTCATTGGGTCGTGAACCTTTCTCTTGTTCAACCCCTTGCAGCTCAATTTCACACTATTATCGCTCTGACGAAGGGCATACGTTTTGGAATTCAGCGATACCATCTCATCACCCTCGCTCTCAACTTTGAAAAGCCCTGGCGTGCGCTTGTCTCGCATGGCGTGTTTGGCGCAACATTCACAAGGTAGAAAATGCATTTTATCGTCCGCCTCGATGTCATCTTTGTCGCGAAACCCGTATAGCATCCTGTCATACTCGGTTAGTTTTCCGATAATGCGAAGTAACAGCTATCAGTATCGCATTGCAACAGCTCGAACGCACTCGTCTAGGAATTTCAGTAGGAATTCGTAATCGAACTGTAACATGCGTAGCTTGGCGTACTGTAACACGAAGTAGCAGAGGACAGACGGCATATCGACCGAGATAGACTTTTTAAGCGATATGACCTCAAAGTCATCGTCATCTAAAGTGCACAAGGACAAGAAATGTCTTATTGACCTGAGCCAAGACCGAGTTCTCTCCGTGAACGTACTTACACGTGGTATGTCGCGTTTTGTCCATCAAAGACTACCGTGACGCCGCTGTTGCCTATCAGTTTCCACACCTCGCCCATGATAGCGAAATCTTTGTCGGAGTCACCTAGACGGCGACTCAGCGGGTCACCTTTTCCACGGCGGGTTTGAAGCATTTCATTCCCTTTGTATTCGACTGCCTGGTAAATTTTGGTTACCATGAGACCCTGCTGTAAATACCATCTAAGTAACGGCGCGGCTAGTAGTATTCTGCTCGCCATTCCTCCCACCAACAAAGTGCGATCATCGCTGACTAAGTTTCTTTCTCTGACAAAGTCGCGCATATGATTTCCCATTTAAGCAAAGGGAACTTAACACGAGGCAAATATTAGTGCCATTTCAGAAAAATGTTCGTACAGTTCGTCCGAACGTGAATATCGACCTCTACCAATCCGGAACAAGGATCCGTGATCACGGGATCGGTAGGGTCTCCTTGCTAACGGCGTATTCGCGTGAGCACTCGTGAAGGATACTGTCTCGCCTTAAGAAAAATCTTGCAGTTCAACATCCGCTTTCAAGACATGTTACGGAAATCGCGATTCCCACATGCAAATGATCTCGTAACCCAAACCCCTGAGGTAGCGCTGCTCTCTCTCACGGTTCTGTTAAATCGAGTTTTGCTTTCTCGCTCTGCACGACGCACGAATGACAGTGAAAATAACACCCCATAAATTCGTAACAGGTTCGAGATACGGATCTTAGCCATCCACCAGAAAAAGGTCCTATTCTTTTTTGCACCAAATTCAATCGATGCATCAACGATATTCCTTTCCGTGACTTTCCCAATCTAACCAATCGTGAGCTAATGGTATACTTTTCAAATTTCTTGGCGATAAAACCTGTTTTACACTGCGTGTCCGGCAAACCAGCGCATCGAAATAACCAGTAGGGCATCTCGAGTCCCAAACAGTAGAGATACAAGGCATTGCAATCTAGACCAATGCACTTTTGACAGACTATCCTTATCCCCGCGCAAAAATGTCTCACCAGCTCTGTGTTAACGACAAAAGATAATAGAAGGCCCTCCCACTATACCGCGTCTCCCAAAGATCACTATCCCCCGGTCCTAATAGGGCAAAGTGAACGCATTCTTTAAGCTTCGTCCGAACAGTAATCGCCTCGCGATACCCGGTGTTGACACGGCATCTTTGAAAATGTCTATGCGTCTCACACCAATAGAAGCGCTTTAGTCTGTCAACAGCCTCCCACGCCGGGTGACACGCCTAGATTATTATACCAAATCAAAAAGTCCCTCAGCGCTTGCATGTTATTCTCGCTCCATATTTTTGTATGTAAGCATAGTTCTCCGCTTCTGGGGACGGCTTTTAATTTCAAATGTGATAGCATCTCTCGGTTGACTTATTCTTCAAGGGTCTCGGTGCAGGGAAGGCTACATATTTTTGCCAATTCACATCCTCCAGGGTATTAATACCCTTTAGGTTAGACCAAAACGCCTCTATCGAAGGGAGCTTCGTTTCCTCTAGCTTCTCGAAACTATCGAGGTACTCGTAACAAAAGAAACCCTTAGATTGAGAAACGTTGAACGTAGATAGAAACTGGTCATAAAATTAGAGATATCTAAAATTTTCAGTCTTTGGGAAACGATGCTAATGTACTGATTGTTTCTCTTGATGAAGTTATTATCGTCATCGACAATGTTCAATGCCCTGGCTAATTTGCTCTTCAATAAATTCAAATCGTATTTGGAACTATTGAATCCCAAAAGAGGGAATTGATTTCGAAACAAAGAAACCAGTCCCTCGAGCGTCCATTCATCACCCAGTGTCCACACCACACGGGGCGAGGTGGCGGCGGATGCTTGAACATCCGCTTCGTTGATATCTTCCCGTTCATTGTAGTTGATATTTACTGCCGATGAGTCAGACCCTGCAACATGTCTCTGTACACTTTCGGTTTTGATAGTCTATTGACCATGCTCGGAGATGGATCCTGGTCATCGACATC